TTCAACCGTATATTAAATTTTCAATCCTTAGCTAAAAAAATTCAACCATTTTTAAAGTTTTAAATAATAGGTATTGGCAAATTTTCGTTTGACAAACTTTACATAGTAACAACATAAAAATATTTATATTTATTTTAAGATATTAAATATTAATATTGCCTATTACAGTAATATAATATGATAGCAATATACACTATTGACTATTGTCTATTATAATAATTCAATACAGGATGCGGCAGCAAACCCGATGATTTTAACAAAAACTGGTGGGCAGGACTAAAGTGGTAGAGATTTCGGGAATGTTCTTATCGCTTTTAAATACCCGGAATTTATTAATGATAGTTTCATTGGCGCTCAAAATGCATTTCGCCGACAATTTAGTTTATCTCCTCGCGATCCTGTGCCTTCTCGTGTTACCATCGACCTGTGGGTAAAAAACTTTGACTAGCATGACTCAAAAGAGGGGTGGTAGTAAAAAAACTAGACGGACTCAAGAAAATGTAGAGCGGGTGAAATAAGCAGTAGGGAGAAGTTCTCGAAAGTCAGCCAGGCGTCACAGTAAAGAACTTGGCTTAAGTGATCGGACTTTGAGGAGAATATTGAAAAAAATAAGAGAATTTTGAAAAAATGAAGTTTTTAAATTTATAACATAAAATTCCACTTATGTTTTTATTTGTTTGGCGATAAATTAATAAAAAAAATGTTTTTCTATTTTTATTTATTCTTTTCAATCGTCGGATTTGACTGCCGCACCCTGTATAACAAATTCCGGGAAATGAAAGAGCTGACAAAAAAGCACGCCAAGCAATAACCTCCACTAATGCCATTAGACTTAATTGTTATACCCCACACGACGCCAAATTCATAACTAGAACAGTGCCGCAACTTTATAATAAGGTTTTCGTGTGTGACATTTTTTTTGGACCCCTTCCTAGGGGTAAGTATTACAATCTATAAGTGCCAACGTTTTTAGGTTTTGTGTATACCTATATATATAATATATTTTTTTTTTTGGTTCATACGTTTTATTCAATCTGTTTCAAAGGGAACTATAAAAATGAGTGATGGTATAGAATAAGCTAAAATTAATAAACATAAAAAGGCAGACTAAACAGAATATTTCAGAGGCCTCCCAGCACTAAATACCTATAAATGTTGTGTACGTCATCACTCGTCAACCGTCGCCGTTTTCCGCTATCAGCCTGTTGTTCTTCCAACAATTCGATAAACAACGACCCATAGACGCGATAAAAATAGATCTTATAGGAAAATTGATAGTAGGTACTTAAAGAGTTAAAAACGTTGACACTTGAATACTTGATAGGTACCTTTTTCTAAACCTATCATCCTATTTTAACAAACTTCTTACTCAATCTAATATTAGTATACCTACAACTACACTAAAGTTTCAACTTAAAAAAAAAATATTATGAACAATTAAGTTTTGAGTTTTAAGACAATTTCAGTGTTTGCTCCAGGTTGGGCCCGGGGCCCCACAAATGTATGTAAGCCTTGAAGCCCGTGTGCGCCGCACACTCTGCACACCCGGTTTTTGCGGCACTGACCTAGAATAATCTCAAACAACATATGGCAACGGGCATGGAAACAAGGTACCTCAAAATTAAACAAAATTAAACAAAATTAAAAATACCATCCACACATGGCCCTCTCCACCAGACTTCTCGAGAAAAATGGAAACCTCAATCAACAGAATTCGTATAGGACATACATCGATATAACCCACCAGTATCTGATGAAGAAGGAAGATCCACCCCTATGTGCCAGCTGCGGTATTCCTCTCTCAATCAAACACATCATAACTGAATGCCTTTCATTTGAAACGGATTAACGAGAAGCAGGCATTCCAAACATTCTGTCAGAAGCCCTCCACCCAGACAACATAAGACACATGATAACCTTTATTACTAAGTCCAACCTTATCAATAGTATTTAATATGTAACTTATATCACATGTAAATAATTTAGAGTTAAACTCTTTGTTGCCAAAGGCCATAATTGCCGAAGCTTAATTCAAATATATAAAAAAAAAATTCAATATAAATTATTATCTAAGATTGAATTCAAATAATATAAATTATATAATTATTATATAATTATATATTATATTAAATCATATAACACATCTATTACGGTGACGGTGACCTACTCGACACGTCAACTTTTTTTAATTTTGCAAAATTTCTTATGGGTTCAGTGATTCACATATTTTTTCCGTAATTATTTCTTTAAGGAACCAAAAGATACATTTATATGTGTTTCAAACTTTCAACAGACCTATACTGACTTGAGTTAGTTCTATTATGGTCGTAAATTTAATTTATCTTGAAGGGTATTCTTCTTCGAAGCAAGCTTGGTTAGTTTTACTCTCTATAAGTGTCATAAAACGCTTGAAATCGAAATCCAAACCTAAACAAGTCAGGTATAGGAATATCAGTATATCGTATATGTATATCATACACTTTACAGAGTTCAGTTGTATATAGTGTATACAGTGACAATTATTTTGAAAGCTATATTTTGAGCCATATATTAAATTTATTAGGTATTTTTAAAAAGAAAAAATCTCTTATTTTTTAAAAATTTAAATGTAAAAAAATACAGTTGTACATTTTTTTTGTAACAATAATAAGTTATTAATAAATTTCAAGTTTTTTGACACGAAGGATATTCAAAATAGATTTAATGATAAATTCAAATATATTCTCAAAATGTCGGAGTAACTCAAATCAGTATGTACTAAGTTGGAACGCTTAAATAGGTCTATAATTGTGCTCCAAAAAACGGTATCCAGGTAGTATCGGGATTCCACCTAAGGCCTAAAGACATTTTTAAAATTGTATGTATGAATTTTTGTCTTTAACACAAAATATAGGTTATTACTTATTGTTGAATTGTATTCAAAGATGTACAACGTTAAAACGCGTACTAAACAAGGAGCTTAATGATAATATAAGTAGGTACCTAACAAATTTCCTGCAAATCATTACATCCATGTTTGAGGGGTACCCAGTGGTCGAAAAGATGCCTTTCATAATTTATTTAGTTCTCATACATAGCTTAAGCTTAAAGAGTCATCTAAAATAAGTGGAGGGGTGGAAAATGTGAATAATGAAAAGTGGGGGATGCCACCCCACCGCATCCCATTATCCCAATCACTTCCACTTCATACTGGTGATACCTTGAATAATAACTTGTTATATTTTAATCATGAGCTAAAATATCTTAGATCATGATGACTATAACTTCTTATTCGGATGATATATCTTGGTATGTCATAATAATCATTAAATATATTTCAAAATTTATTGAGCTGATTGTGTATTTGTGTGTTTATTTTTTTAAATGCATTAAGAGGATGCTTCTAGCCTACTCCCGCGTGTGTTGTCTCCGTCTTACCAACTTACGACATACCAAATTTTCGATCACTGGTTTGAATAATGTGCCGTTAGTTTTGATGTTAGAGTAAATTTAAGTATTACCTATCATACTTTTAGGTAAGAACATTATCTATGCTTAAGCGTTAGCGGATTTTCGATATTTTCATATTCAAGCAAGATACGAGTGTCGAGTATGTGAAATAACACAAATCAAAAATGCTCACATCTCGCTTGAAAATATCAAAACTAACAGCTCACGATTTAAACTAGGGAACTAAAATGTTCCATGTCTCGTACGAGTGTAAGTCGGAGACAACAAATGCATGGGTAGCGTCCTCTTAAATACAATTTTTCCAAATTTAATTATGCTGCCAAAAATTGTAAACTAATAAAAAAAAAAACTAGTTACTAGATAGTCAAACACGATTAAGAAACACTATTGGTAAAAATAGATTAGACAATTTGATGATAGAAGCTGTTATTGAGGAATTTGCTTCAAAAACCTTAGTCATTTTAGTTAACTTAAGCTCTAAAATATAAACAAAGCAATAATTTAATACTTTGATCCAACAATTTATAAAAATATAATTTGATGGCTATTATGTAATATCAAAATATTACCATATTATTCTTAAATTATTATCTTTTAAAAACATATATCTAATTAGTAATTAGATTTAGAGGGTGTGAAGGATTTTGTCTCCAACAAGTTTGGTTGAAACTTTTCAGGATACTCGGTACATTACATTGCTTCACCTTATCAGGCTGACTATTTAAAAAACAATAAGGATGCCACTGCCTGGCTAACAGCTGAGAAGACGCAAAGACAGGCTCATTTAATTGTATACCTAAAGGCTAAAATTAAGCAATCCAGAGCATGCTAATGTTCCCGACGGCCTACTGTTATTTCATCGTTATAGATTATCCTAAATTTTTAATGTTTAGATAGTTAATTATTTTATATAATAGTTTATAAATAAAAATAAAGATAACCCACATAAGTATGAATTAATTCATCTATCATTTATGTAATAATCATCTAAGATTACCTACAAATATTAAATTATAATTTGTGCTCTAACCTGTTATTAATTTGATGTCTGTGAATAATAAAGTTATAGTTAATGGTCGATTATAACCAAATACCTTATTTAAAATTATAATTCAAAAGCATTTTAAAAACCTAACTTAAATCAAAGAAATCTGATTCGTATTTTCTATAAATCATAATTTTAAATCATCAATTAATGTTAAGAGTAAAACTGAATACATTCAAGGTGTTAAATAACGTAAACATCAGTTTTAAAAAACATGCAAGAGCTGGCTAAAGAAAAATAAATATTTGCATATATCATGAATTAAGATAATCTTCTAAAATAGTCGATGGTGTATCCTAAATGTACAAACAGTTTACATAAAAACTAACATCACTATTTAAATATATTTTTTTTTAAACTTTATTTCAATAAACATACAATCTGTACATTTTTTAACTTAAATGAGCATTGATCATAATATATTAGTAGGCAATAAAATATATATCATCAATGATATTTGTCATATTTTTGAATTTCAGTTCATAATTTCTATTCAACCACTTTATTTACTTTTGACTTCTTTTATTTTAACAAACCCATAATCTGTAATAATTGTAGTAATAAATTTACAAACATAGACAATTTCCAAAACAACTTTGTATTACAATTTAAATGAAAAAAATTATACTAATAAATCAAACAAATAAATATTTTTATAATTAATAATTTGTACAATAAATGTTATGCAGTATGGTGAATAACCCACTAGAAAAGATATTAAATTATTCAGATTTTTAAAAATGTTACAAAATATAATATGTGGTTTGATATTTCATAGGAAAAAATGCACATAAAATTTAAAGTGCTACTGGTAAATATATGATTATAAATACATTACTTATTCGAATAATATGCAGAAATGTCGCAAATCAGACTTATAATTAGATAAACTGATACAGTCTATCTTTAAAATATATTTTTCAACACTTTTATAATTCATCATGATCCAGGGATTCTTCTTTATCTTCCTCTTCTTCTACTTGTTGATCACCAACTGATTCTTCGTCATCATAACTAACTTTTTCATCTAATGGAATGCCTAATGATTGCCTCATTAGAACTTCAACGCTTTCAGCAAAATCTGCAGATTCTTGGAGCATAAATCCTGACCGTAAAGTTGCTAAACAATAAAAATTTATAATTTATATTTAATTATTATTTATAATTAAGTACTTGTGATGTAAACATATTTAACCAACATTGACAAAACTAAATTACCTGTTCTAAATAACATAACTGCAATATCTTTTGCTTTTTGGTCTTCAGGATCATCTCTTACTCTTCTTAACAAATCTTTTATAAGAGGATGACGAGGATTTATTTCAAGAGATTTACGCTGCTTTAAATAAAACTCTCTCTGTGGATCATCAGCTTTTTGGTGAGCATTAGATAAGGCTAATCTTTCCATATTACCAGTCCAACCAAACATTCCAGCAACAAGAGCACAGGGTGATTCAGCCAAGCGATCTGATACAACTGCTTTTGAAATCTACACAGTACACTCATATAAATATAACATAATACAAGAGATAACAAAGCTTTTTGTAACTTACTTGATCTTTAAGAGCATTTTCGCCAAACCATTTTGTAAGTGGTTCAAATTGAACTTTCAATTCTTCAGCCTTTTCTTTATTTTCAGTAAGAGAAACACCCTCTTTAGCCACATTTTGGAACTTTTTACCTTCAAACTCTGGAATAGCTGACAATGTGTATTCGTCTACTGCTTCAACTAGATACAGAACTTCATATCCCTTGCGAATAATGCCCTCAACAAAAGGAGAACGTTCAAGTTCTGCCTTACTAGAACCAGCAATGTAATAAATATGTTCCTGCTTTTCGCTCATACGTTTCACGTAATCTGCTAATGATGTAGGAGTCTCTTCAACAGATGACTGGAACCGCAGCAACTTGGCAAGACGAGCTCGATTAGATGGATCTTCAATAATACCCAATTTTATGCTATAAAATTGAAGAAAATTAGAATAGTACTTATGAAAAACAGTAATATTGTTTAGTTAACATTGTTTACTTACTTTGTAGAATATTCAGCCCAGAATTTCTTGTATGTTTCAGCATCCAATTTTTTAAGCATATCTAAAGCTTTACGAATAAGTTTTTTCTTGATAATTTTAAGTAACTTATGTTGTTGTAAGACTTCACGTGAAACATTTAATGGTAAATCGTCCGAATCTACTATTCCTTGAAGGAAACTTAAATACTTTGGCAATAAATCAGTAAATTCATCTGTTATAAATACTCTTCTAACATAAAGCTTGATGTTATCTGTTACTGTACCATATTTGTTAAAGGTATCTGATGGTTGTGCAGATGGAACATAAAGCAAGGATTTAAATGATACTTCGCCTTCAGCATTAAAATGGGTATAACTCAACGGATCCTTGGTATCTTTAGTTAGCGCCTTGTAAAATTCATCATACTCATTTGCTTCTACGTCATCAGGTTTTCGAGTCCATATAGGTTTATGGTTATTAAGGATTTCCCAATCCCAAACAGTCTTTTCAACCTTTTTAGTTTTTGGTGTTTCTTCTTTAGCATCTTCTACTGCTGCATCATCTTCTTCTGTCTTTTCTTCATTTTCTGGCTGCTCATCTTCTTCAATTGGCTCTTCTACAGTTTCAGTTTTGCTTGACCATAAATAAATAGGGAAGTTGATAAACTGTGAGTATTTTTTCACTAAATTTTTCAGAGTATTTATTTCTAAATTATCAATGGCTTCTTCTTTCAGTTGTAAACTAAAATATGAATAAAAAAATCCTATCAAATTAGAATACGTAGAATTTTTAAATATTAATTTTAACAAACCTAATTTGTGTTCCTCTCTTAAGTGTTGGTCCTCTGGGGTCTTCAACAATAGAAAAACTGTTGGCATCTGATTCCCATATATATTGTTTATCGTCGTTGTGTTTGGTGGTAACCAAAACTTTGTCAGCAACAAGAAAAGCAGAATAAAATCCAACACCAAATTGTCCAATCATGTCATTCATATTTTTATCTTGACCATCTCCAGAGTTCAAATTACTTAAAAACTCAGCGGTACCAGATTTCGCAATGGTACCCAGATTTTTTACCAGATCTTCACGAGTCATACCGATTCCTGTATCAGTTATATGCAACATCCCAGATTCTTTGTTCACCTAATTTACAATTTAATTATTAAAAACCAATCACTGTTAATTAATAATAAGTACATAATGAACCTCAAGGAAATGTTAGGTACTTAAACTTCAATTTAGTGATAAAAAAGTAACAGAGACATAACTGTTTTGATATAAACAAGCTATTGATACAAACCAAGTTATAACTTTAAAAAAAAAAAAAATATATTAAACAAAGTTCTATTTAATGTGTTGCCATTGGGTGGCTTTTTTTTCATGAGCTCATTTTAAAAATAAATTTATATATCCGCACACATGCTTATTGTAAATTATATATTACAGATTGTTTGTTTTAAAATAAAGTTCAAATAAATCAATCATGTCAATATAGATATGTTTTTAAAAATACTTGACATTAGACATTACCTTGATTCTAATAGAAAGTTCATTAGTTGCATCCAAAAGATTGGCATTAGACAATGCCAACAATCGTATCTTATCTAAAGCATCTGAAGCATTGGAAATAAGTTCTCTTAAGAAAATCTAAAAACAACAATAAATTAGTATTATTTTGTATTTATTAAAACAATTAAAAAATAATATTTACTTCTTTATTTCTATATAATGAATTGATAATAAGTTTCATCATTCGATTAACTTCAGCTTGGAAAGTAAATGTTTCAGCTTGGTCCTTCAGCTCTCGTAACTGTGCAGCATTTAATCCATCTAATTTGATTCGTTCTTCGGCATTTAAAACAACTTTATCATCTGAAATAAAATTGAATTTTAGCATTTTAAAAACATTAGTTTAAGTTGAAATTGTTAATATAACTTTATTGTAAGGTTTACATTATAAAAACCTTAAAAAACATCTGTTACAGACAGACCGGGATAAGCTTAATTGATAAACTAATAGATAAATAATAAATAACGACATAAAAATAAAATAGTGAGAAGGCCCTTTAATGATACTTTATCATGACATTTTTTATATTAGTTAAAATAATATGTAATGCAATGTATTCACTGTATGTTTGCAAAATATATATCTATCTTGTAACAATAACAATAATCTACATTTTTTATAGCATTATATATCTTAACAATGTACCTCAGTATTAAACAAATAAATTATCTGCAACAATCCTACACGCAGATAAAAATAACAGTTTTAACTAAATCTCATGATTTAAAAAAAACAAGCCAGAAGATGATCATTTTAATTTAGTTAAAATAGTCTAAATAATTTTGCTCTTTAGTAAATAATTAAGAAAACTTTTTAAGTAATAAAATATTAAATAAACTCTAAGTAAAGGAGCTAGATTCTAACTACACATTTGAATTTGTCTTAAATTTCGTATTTATGTAAATATCTCAGATACAGATAAGAAGTTTGAATTTTTGTTATAATTTAATCAATCATATGTATGAAATTTATATCTAGATATTATGTTAAGATAATGTTAAATGTTAAATAACAAAAAAATAAAGGGAGGTTTAAAAATTATAATATTACATTTTTATGCAAATGTAATTAAATTATAAGGATGAAAATCATAAATGAATAATGTACTTTAATTGATATAATCAGATTTTTAGAGCAACTCTAAATTTTGAATGGTTTGGTTAAGTTTTTATCTATTGACTGTATCGAATGAGTCTTAAGTTGTATAAATCAATCATTTTGAACAAAAATACTTTTCGAATGATCTAAATTAACCTTTACCAATTTGGAACACAATTTCAACAAGTTTTTTTTAACTAGCCTGAGGTACACATTTTAAAACAAAACATAAATGATACATTAAAAAAATTTACCAGTAACTGCTCCTTCTTTGCTAGCACCTTCAACGGTTGCGTCAACCGTAAAAGTTTTGATTATTTCTCCCTCGACTTCTTCGGCTATACACCGTTCTAAGGGTGACAGGAAAATAGTTTGTTAATAATCAGAGGTGGATCGTGTAAGCAAAAGTCCACAGCAAACTTACCGGCTATCGGCGATAACGCCAGGGCCACAAGTAAAAGATACTTGAGTTTCAACATGTCGACGCAACTTTTGGTCAACGTGTAGAAACGAAATCTAACTGTCACAGAAACGACACGAATGTAATCGCGAAACGCTCTCGGAAGTCAGTGAACTGTCGAGTGGAGTGCACTAAGCACCGGGCACTAGAAAAAACTACCGTAATATGGAGATGTGCCGCCGAATTATAACTTATAAATGTAAATGTGGACCAATGGGAACGCTACACGAACACGGGACCGGCCAATCGGACGCCACTATGTGGCTTTTCTTCGGAAAAACACGATGTGAAGTTGGTGACGTCACTTTGGTCATGCGTCACGCCAATACGGGATTAGTTTGGCGCTGAGTGGCTGCATATCTTAAAACTGCAGCTGTTGGCATGCCGGTCGTGAACCAAGATAACAGAACTGATAAAAAAAAAATGATAAATTAACTTATTAACAAATAAATAATAACAATACGTCTTGGGGCCATCGGGTACTGTAAATGTTTTTTTAGTATTTTAAATTTTTTGATTGTTATTTTAAAGGGAAACCGGATGTAATCGACCTTCGTGTACAAGAGACAAGACTCGCCAAACGCATTCGAAATGTTCGGAAAGACTTCGCTTGGCCTCCTACGATCGCTCACTCGTGAGTTTCGGTACGTCGCGTCCGGCGGCAAGTTACTCGACCGACCTCTAATACGGTTGATACTATCTGAATACCGATCAAATCAAGTTACTCCGGCTCAGTACTGCCGCGGCCCCGACGAGATGTTGTGGGTGGCCGACACATACTTGCAGTACATACGATCACAACGCATATGCCGCGAGCTCACCGACAAACATCAGAGACGTGAAAAAACCGTTCAAGAAACGGCGGATATGATTGGTTTTAGACTACCATCCGCACCAACGAACGACAAACACAATTAAAATGTTCAATGTAAAATGTATTTGTCTGTATGTATATAGTATATAGAATTCTGTGAAGATTATTATCTATTTTTATTCCTTTACTACCTAATCTGGAAATTTCTACAATTTAAATTCTACGGGTATATCCATGTACATACATGCTGGGATAAACAAACTGCCAAAGCACAAGGATGCCCTTGGTGTTTTCGTAAAAATTGTTTCTTATTTAAGTTGGTACCGTTAAAAACCATATATTGTTTAACCATAAATGATATTTTAATCGCAACACTAATTGTAATCCTCACTTTGAAATCTTATCTTAATTTTCCACACATAGGGTAACATTATGTACAAAACCAAACAGTGATCACATGTTTTACCACTTTTACCCTATAATAGTGGTGTTTAGTGAAATTATGATTAACAGGCATTTAAAAAAATGTTATAATTCATTTTTCAGAAGCTTTATTACAAATACTAATATTAATTAATATAAAATTGTTTCCTTAACGTATAAATTAAAAAATAGAAATTATGCAACGCAAGTTACAATTTATAAAAAAAGGATTATTTTTATTAACATTAAAATGCAATTTCCATTCTCCAAGTACTTCAAATTTTAAGATTCCACAACATAAAATTATCTTATATTAGGATAATAGGAAAATTATTTTACAACATATGTCCTAAAATGTTGTGACAAAATAAGCGTGTTCTCATATTTTTCAAAATAAATTATATTACAAAATCATTATATGTGAATACACCATAAATTAGGTAGTCAAAATTAAATATAACACTTGAATGGTAAAACTAACACGAGTTAGTACTTAAATTAAAAGAGCATAATCATAATTACTTGTATTATTAGTTTAAGAAATAAAAAAAAAACATCAATCTGCTGCAAACATATGATAATACTTTAAAGTTTAAAGTCAAACAATTTATTTTATTTATATTTATCATCAATTTTAAAAGGGGTTAAATTTAGGACCAGGTCCAGACATATTTCTTGGTCCAGAAGGTCTTGGATATCCACCTCCACCCATATTGTTAGAAAAAAATGAATTGGGAGGACCAGAGTTATCATTACGCCGAGAAAATGTGTTGTTTCCAAAAGAATTTCCACCGCCACCGCTGCTGCTGCCTCCACCAAATGAATTGTTTCCAAATCCTCCAAAGTTCCCACCATTGCCTGAATTAGGTGGTCCCATATCATCCATACTAAAGTTATTACCACCAGAACCTGGTCCTCCTCCTACCGGTCCATCCATAAACAATTCAATGTATCTATGTTGCATGTATGTTTTATCCTATAAATTTTAATAGTTCATATTTTTTACTATATAATAATATAAATTATTAAGTAATAGTTAAAATGTATTTACTTTAGACATAGCTCGCATAGCATCTTCTTTGTTACCAAATTCAACATTTGCTTCTCCAGATGGTCGATTATTGTTATTGAAAAGAATACGTATATCAACGGGCTCCAATGGATCAAAAAACTAATTTGAAATATTCATAAAAATATTGATACAAAAAAAATTATAATTAATAATTAAAATATAAATATACTAACTGTAGCTATATCATCTTCATTTGCTTTAAAAGGTAATCCTCTCATATGTACAACGTATAGTGGTCTACTTGGTGGAGCATTCCAGTTATTATTATTCCATCCTCCTCCTCCACCACCTCCACTACTGCCGCCCATCATACCTTGGCCACCTCCACCACCGCCTCTTGGTCCACCCATACTTCTGCCACTATTCCATGGATCACCTCCATTATCATAGCCATTATTGCCAAATGACTTCATACTACGTCCAGTTCTCATGGGCATATCAAAGTACCGTCCACTACCACCACTGCCACCACCACTACTAGCAAAACGATCCATTCTGTCATATGGAGTTTGTCTAGGTCTTCTTTGCAGTGCTTGATTGCGAATTTCTGCTAAACTACTGCGGAATATCTCAATATATCTAAAGAATCATAAAAAACGAGTAATTTATGAAGTATTAAACATTAAGTAAAATTATACTATGGTAGAAATAATTAAAATTTAATTTAATAAGAATCAAAAATAAAAATAAAAACAAACCACAAATAAGGAGGAGCGAAGGATTACCCTCCCGGCCTCCCTTTGTTTAACTACATGTGATTATATTACCCGCCAATTTTTCACCGGGATAATAAATATAGGAAGACACCCCACCTGTGTCCTATTTTCTCCTTGTGTTTCTGCAGAGCTTTCTCTGCATTCTCTCTGTCTACAAATTGTACAAAAGCTTCCCCCGTACTCCGCCCCGTGAAGTCGGTTGCTATGGTTATACCGTCTGGTGTCATCTCCAACCCTGTTGCCCACAATACAACCAATCATAGATAACCCAATCATTAGCACAACCAAAAACACAAAAAGTTCAATTAACAAAAGGTAAATATTATCAAGTTTGAACATTTTTATAAAATTTGAAGACAAGGCAATTCATTAAGATCATTTTATTAACTATAATAAATTTAAACTTGTGATATTCAAAAATTTAAAACAATATATCTACTACATCTTTTTTTGTACAAAACATTTTGGTATAATGACTAGTCATTACTTATAACTCCATTTTTAACTATCCAGCTCAATATTTAAATATAGCCTAAACAACTTGATATTTTAAGCAGTAAACCACTTATATTTAACTGAGGACAAATAGCTTACTAGTTATTATAATTTTATGTTTAGTGGAATGAAATTGAGTGGTTATGTTGTCTTCACAAATAAACTAAAAAAAATTATAAGCTTTACCTAGTAAAGATGCTGTTAGGCATAAAATAAAAACTGTTAAACAAATATCACAAAACTAATTTAAAATATAAATCTTATTGAATCACCAAGACAAAGCAAATTTATAAGTAACCCAAAAATTAGCAAGATAAATAAAAAAATAAAATACAATCAATGTATATAAATTAAATAGAAAAGTATACCTTGGAAGAATTGTACAATGTCATCCTTAGTAGATCCAAAGGGAAGACCTCTTAAACGAACACAATTATCATCTAGCACGCTGTCAAGTGTTGAACCAGTTTTTTTAATAACCCATTCCATTTCTGAACGTTTTGATCGAAACACTAAAAAAAATATATACAAACGATTAAGAAGTTTAAAAATATATATTCAACTAACTGTGGACTATTCTAGATTATGAGTGGAATAAGAAAGTTATTTGTTTTATAATTTTAACCAGCTCAAAAATATGTAACACGAGCAGAACACCAGAAACCTTTTCCCCCTCTTATTGAATGTTCTACCCATCAAATTAATGGAGTTTAAGTATGAGCCATATTTTGGAATCACATCAGTGTTAAAACTAACACATTATTAAACATAATTTGAGTATAACCTTCAATGTAACGATTGCCCATATGCTCTCTATCTTTCTTCAGAGCAGCTTTAAGATCTTCTTCGGATTCCATTTCTACATAAGCTTCACCACTAGGTCTTCCTTCCCTAGCCATAGTCAAATGTACTCCAGCAGCACCATCTTTAACCTTTGCTTCACCTACATAATATATAAAATAATAACATTTAATTTATTTTAAGTATTAAACTATTACTACATCTATTGAACTACACACCTGCAAATTTGTAATTTAATATAAAATAATGATGAAATGATATAAATTCTATTCAGAAAAGAGTACACCAGTTTACACAAGATTTTGCACATTGCCAGGCAATATCTGTACAACAGAATAGTGAATGACCGGTAGCTGTATAGATAATGAATGAAATTATGATTATGGACTAACAAGTAGTAAAGCCTGAATGTATGGAAACAATTTCGGTTACCAGTGGTGGAGGATGGATGAACAAATTCAACCGATTTTTTGTTCGCTGGCATGTGTGCTCGATTTGAATAAGATGAATATTATAGTTTGCTCTTAACTTACCCAGTATGCTTAAAAATTTGATTATATCATCAGCTGTGGCCGACCATGGTAGGCCACGCATTTTCACAACAAATCCTTCATTTGACTGACAATCATCTTCATCAGTTTGTTCATTAGATCTTTTTTGGTCGTCATTAATTTGTGGTTGCGATGATGGTTGTTGTTGCTGCTGCTGCTGCTGTTGTTGTTGTTGTTGTTGTTGTGGCTGCTGCTGCTGCTGCTGTGGTGGTTGTTGTTGCTGTTGATTCATTGTATCTAAATTATGAATACTACAAAAAAAATATTAAAATTAAAATATAAAGCAGATATGATACAAGATTATAAAAGTAAACTTTTGGAATATATCAATTATCAATTCATATTAGTTCAAAATCGAATGTACAAGAAGTTATAATACAGTGAAACGCACCAACCTATATCAGACTCGAATTTTGATATAAGTTGATGCATAACAAATTTTTCTCGTTAAGAATCTTATATGTAACTAAAATAACTCAAGTATAAAACTTATTATGTAGATAATTGTATCTTCATACCTTTTATGTTAATATTAGCGTAGCTATAAATTAGAAAAATAATTTGATGTGAATTGAACAACTAAATTTAAAAAATTACAATTATCATGTTTAATAATATCGTATTAGAGAGAAATATGTGTGACAATTCAAAAACACAAATCGGCTCATGAAAACACACAGAAACTGTATTCTTAGAACGTAACTAAAGTATTCAACTTCGTAAACCGTAATATTTTATATAATGTAGAATGTACCAAACAACAATAAATATTAAATGGCACTAGGAAAATATTGAAATGAAATAAATATAATAAGAGGAGAGCAAACCATAAGTGCAAACATGCACAAATTGTAGACAAAATGGCTGTCTTTAGCGTTTGTTTATACATTATCCCCAATTCCTAACGTTTTCTCATCCATGAATTATTTCTTAATAATTTCTCATTCATGATAAACCGCCAATTCAAATTTAATTTTTCTGGTTTCGTATGAAAACAGATCTTACTGGTTTCTAATTTTGATTCAACATCAACATTTTATAGTACCTATTATTTAAATTCAGTTTCTGAGTATTTTTAAATTTTCTAGATTCATACGACCTAATGAAAACTATATATATTAATATATTATAGCATATTACAAAAATAATAAAGATGACCCAACAATTATTATTTTACCTTACAAATTTATTAGTTTTTTGCTTCTTTGCTATGATTTTGTTCTATTTATTGGAAATTATAATTACATAACTATAATTAGATAAACAATGCTTTGACGCTTGTGAACCAGTGACTTGTTTTGTATTAATTTAAAATCAATATTTTACCTTTCTGACTTTCTGTTAAAATCTCTTTTATATGGTTTTTAAGAATATATTTTTACAGCATATTTGTTCATTTTTGATGCATGATCTCACGAATGCATACTTTTAAGAACAAATTTCATGATTCAAAGCTCTGGATGTAATATGTATCACCATTCACCAATACCTCTCCCTCCCTCCCACAAGTGTTGGAGAAGTTTTTTTTTGGTAATTTAATTATATTACTAATTCCTTATCGAAATTTTAATTTAATTATTTTTAAGTTTCTTTTTTTTTTATTCGGTCAAGTTATACTACTTTGAGTTTAAAAAGTAATTCAATTAATATAGAAATTACACTTTTCAAAAATTTAACTGGAGATTAAAAAAATAAAATCCATGTTGTATACGACAATAAACATAAACTAAATAATGACAATCAACAAAATACAATTATTAATAGATACTCATTTTGCCATACATTAATCTTAATTTTTCAAATTTATTTAAAAAAAACAATACATACAGAGTCAAATTCAAATATTCAGTAGCAAGAAAAATATAACATAAATATCAGAGTTCAGAAAATGTTGTTTATAAATTATTATACTAATATGATATACTTTAATATTTACACACGTTATCAATAATTTCTGAAAAATTAAAATCAAAAAATGTATTTAAAAAAAATAAAGTAACGAGTTATTTAGTAATTTAACTACAAACAATTAACTAAAATTATAATATTATGTACTTATCAATTACTTGCAATAAACTGGAATTAAATTACCATCAAATAGGTAACTTAAAAAGTAATTTCGGTACAGTAACTATTATAACTTACTTGAGTTACTCCCCAACTCTACCCCCACCGATAACGATATAATACTACTCAGTACTCAGTACTCAACTGGTGGTAAGTATAATAAAAAAAGCTATAGATGCTCCAACTGGTAAGTACCTATTTTTTTATAATACAATTTTACTTTTACATTTTACTTTTGCCCCTCTCCCCGCCCAAATTAAGCACTGGATCCGACACTGAGTGCCGTGATGATAAGTGGGACTGTGGGAGTCTAGAACAAAGATGCATTGGTATGTAAAAAAGCAACACGGATAGTTAATTCACTTATAGCCGGGATCTGAGTCTGAACTAAATAGTAAATGGCTAAATAGTAAGTACCATGGAGTCCGTGGATACCAAATACTGTAGTAATGTAGGTACTAGGCGGAAGCATAGAACAAGGAAGCTTATATTTTATAATTTAAATAGGTGACAATGTGGCAGGTTTTATTACAAGTTTACAAGTTTACTACTCGATGTGACATATAATCATTATGATCTCAATACTATATAATTAATTCTTTATCAGTAAACAGTAATTGATAAGAAAGAAGTCAGGCGTCAGCTCTTGTGTACTCACTAGTCACTACCTATATAGTAATCAGTATAGACATTCGACATTCGAGTCATTTGAATTCGACAGTATCTCACAAATACTGAAAGCAAATTCTTAATGCAACTGCATGTTAAACCTTAAATCTTTCAAGTTTCTTATTCTCAATAGAAAAACAAAGATTTGTATAGTTTTTCACTTACATAATTTAATAAATATTTTAGAATGCAAAAATTAAATTAAACCTAAACATCTTATATATAGTAATGACTATCTACAACATCTATATTTTTGATCGGATGGGAACAATATTATATCAGACAAACTGGAATCGTCTAAAACAATCGGGCATGAGTAGTGAAGAAGTAAATTAAAAATATTACAACATTATTTGAGTAGATTTAGATATATTTTATCTATGTTATAGGAAGCCAAATTGATGTATGGTATGTTGTTTTCTATCAAGTCATTTGTTTCCAAAATATCACCACTTGACCCTAAACGTGGTTTTTTATGTTACAAGACTAGTAAATATGCATTACATTATTATGAGTCGTTAACTGGTGTTAAATTTATTTTAAATACCGATACAACAATAAAAAATGTCAGAGATTTGTTACACCAATTATACAAAGAAGTAAGACTTACTAGTTACTATTGATAATCATTAACAAATATTTTGTATACAATTCTGCTGAGAATTGTTTAAGCAGTATAATTGACATAATTATCTTCATCAATATTTATATGATAATGGCATATCTCTATTGTATTATGATTTACCAAAACATTTATAGTAAAACATTTATTTTAAATATAAATAACTGTATTTAAATTGTTTCTTTTTTTAATTAGCTTTCATCCATTTAATCTTTATTTTTATTTCAGATTTATGTGGAATATGTTGTAAAAAACACTGAATGTGAAATGGGACAACCAATTGAGAGTGAATTATTCAAATTAAAACTTGATCAATTTATAAAACAGCATATGAAAAGTATACAATAAATAATAATATAATATTTATGAAAATTATATAAAATTATGTAAGTTATGAATTAGGTAATTTCATAATTATTAATTATTATATTCATAATTATTTGAAACTTTGAATGTAATAAATTATTTCATCTATTTAATTATCAGTCTTGGGTTTTTTTTTATGGCTGTGGTGTCACTGTATTACCTATTAATCCCCTCCATTGTTCATTGTAAATTGTTAACAAATTTGAATTATAACATGATATAATGTAAACTATATCTTGAATTATATTTATTCATGATTCAATTATTATTATTTATTTTATTAACCCGATTCATCTTGATTCCTATCTTTTAGTGTCTAGGGTGCTGGGTATCTGCTGATGTTAACATTTTTAATGACAAATTACCTGCAATTAGCAGTATTGACTGTGTTAGAAATTAGTTAGGTAATTGAATACAGACTACTATTATAGAAGACTATTAAACTACTAACACATAAGTAAAATTAATTTTAAACTCGATAATGAATGTTAACTGATCATAATCATTTTTTGTATATCTAAATGAAATGTGTATAATCTAAGTCGTTGTGTTTATATAATTTTGACATTTGGTTGCTATAGCTATGCAGATACCTAATCTATAAGACATTTGATTTTTTCTGAAATTATTTGAAATGAGTTCATATCTTGAATATAAGGTAAAAACTAACCAAAATCATTTAATTACTGGCATAAGTTACCACCGCCAACTTGGTCTGTTGGCAATAATATCATGTACTGAAAATGACGAAGCACAAATTCTTATATGCGATGAATTAGTGAGTACCTATATAGTCTTTAAAAGTTCATCCTTCACTTTTTTTTCATACTGTTATTCTCAGGGTGAGGATTTGCACAATTCTGGACCAAATGTTTGTAAAGGCCACATATCTTCATTTTGCTGGCATCCCACTCAGCGTACATTAGCTATTGGCTCAAAATCTGGAGAACTATATATATGGAATGGCGGATTAGTAACTGCCTTAGACTCTATTCACAAAGAAACTATTGTATTTTCTAAATGGTCATCACTTGGTGGATGTTTAGTAACTGGAGATCAGGTTAAAAATTATTGAGTCCAAGTAAAATATCTACTTAAAAAATAAAAATTCAATGGTTATGATGTTTGTTATTTTAGACTGGTATTATAATCGGATGGAAGTCTGATAGTCGAGGTTTGCTTAAAATGTCATTTAAGTCAAATGTCGAAGCTATTTTATCTAACGAAATTTCATTTAGAGCTGGAAAAGCTGCTACTGATATTTCTAATTTAGCCAAAATGGCAGTAGCTGGTGACCAAAGTGCCTTAGATATATTTAGTTCTTGGCGGCCTCGTACAACTACGTCGCATGGTCCACGCACTGTAACTTCAGACAATATAACATTTTACTGTGCTGCAGTGACTGGTAATAATTTTAAATATCATACTTGTGAGCTATTAAGTCATCATTTTTTTATTTTGGTAGGAGAACTATATTATTTTGATGAAGATGGAGAATTCAGCATTGTACTTATACCCAAATCGATTATTTTAAGAATTTTATGCCATGAATCAAAAGATATTTGTATTTTAGTATGCAAGGACTTAACTGTAGCCTATTATAAATGTCATAAAAATGGTTCATTAAGTGAAGTTTCTAAGGTTAGTTACTATGATTTAGTACAATATACAACAATATGATTATTTTAAACACATTTTAATGTTGTGTATATAAAACATTTTTTATTTCCCTCATTTCTTATTATAACAAGAACTAATTATAAATTGTTGGTAAAATATTCATTATTTAGGTTAAGTTAAATGGGTTGAAAGAAGATATGTGTATCATTTGGGCAGGTCCATTTTTATTAGCATGTACAACAAACGATGTGTCTATTCGTTTCTGGGATATTGAGTCTGGAAACAGTTATGTTTTAACTGCGCCGGTCTCTTATGCGTCCTCATACCCTAAACAAACATTTATAAATATTTCTTATTCAGTGGAAAAAGGTAATAATTCTTTTTCATGTTACTGAAATTATGTTTACTATGTTTTTTTTTGGTTATTATTCAGGATTATTGTGTGGGGCAACAAATCTTGGAAATATTATTATTTGGCGTTATGAAGAAGAAACTGTTGACCAATGGAATATTCATGGTTCATGTAAAATTCAAGATACCATAAAATACTGTGTTTGGAGTCCATTAAATTTAGCAGTACATGCTACAGATGGTATTTATATTTTACGCGAGCATGCATTGTTGGCAACGTACAAAGAAGACATGGCTATTGTACAAATGTCTGCAAATGATCTTAATGTGTTTCACTCTAGTACAGATGAATCATTTAGTTTAAATACTAATATACAAGTTATAGGCCTAGCTTTGAACAAAGAACATATATGTTTATGGAATGGTAAAAATTATTGAAGTCTTATGGTTTTTTTTTTACTCATTTATAAATTTTGTTTTAAAACAAGGGAAATCAATATCAGTTTATAACATTAAATCTAAAGAAAACCCTACAGTAGTTGGAACTTTCAATTGTGATGTGCAAGAAGCTTGTATTTATGATAGAATTGTAATTGTGGCTGAGAATTGTGGAAAATTACAAATAAGAACATTTCAAGGTACCATTAAACAGACATTGGATGTTGAAGCACCAATAGTTTGTCTCACTTTAAATACTTGCTATTTAGCAGCTGTCACATTATCTGGAGTTATTCATATCTGGGATTTAAATAGAAGGTAGCTTTATTTGTCAATTGAGTTTAAAAATATTATAATTTTTTTTTTTTTTTACTCTAGGGAAGCAAAATCAATGTGTAAACCTAAAGATATAACACTAAATATAGATGATTATGGCGAAGCTATTCAGTTACGTTTGAACAGTAATGGTACTAAAGTATCGTTTACTGCAGCAAACTTAAATTTAGTACCAATGCCACGGTTATATGTTTGGGATCGAGATTTAGACATAATTTATGTGAAACATTTTGAAAAGGGTTTAGACATGGATGAAATGTATGTAATATACTAAGATAATTTATCTTATACACAATAGTGTACTAATACACTAATTTCTGTGTATAGAAATATTTGCAAAAGGAAATTCATACTTAAATAACTTAATCTACTTTTTGTAGACAATATAATGATACAAGATTTATTGTTTCTCACTATTGGGATACAAACGAGCCAAATTTATTATTTTGTGAAGCGAAAAGTATTGACAAACCAGAAAGTAAATCATCAAAACCAAGTTTATATACATTAGCAAATAGACAGAAAAAAAATAAAATGATTGGTTCATCTGTATGTTATATAATTTTTGCTTTAACTTGTATTATAATATAATTTCCTTTTTGTTTAGGTCATACTAAGTATGTTCTTTATTGAACAAAAAGGAATTAAAATTCAAGATATTATACATTGCTCCGATCAATTTTGTACATTACTAGGACTTGATGCTCCGTATTATATAACATTATGCAAACGCAATACAAATTCTGTAAATTAAATAATATTTATACATTTAATATAAATTAAAATTCATGTTTATATTATAGAAAACCCGTGTTAAGCGTATTCTCATGAAGGAATTTGAAGGAATTGAAGACTGTAATTCTGATATTCGAGCAGCTATTATCAACTTTGGTTATAATTTATGTCTTGGAGACTTGGATCTAGCTTTCAATTTTATTACTAACATTAAAAGGCAAATATTTTATTTACCATGTGTTTCATAATACTTTATAACAAATATTTATATTTTATCGTCTGTGTAGTCCTGCTGTCTGGACAAGTTTGGCTAAAATGTGTGTAAAAACAAAACGTTTGGATGTAGCTGAAATATGTCTGGGTCACATGAATGATTGTAGAGGATTAGCCATTTTGCGTTCAATAAATAAAGAGCCAGAACTGGATGCAAGAGTGGCTTGTCTTGCTGTGCATCTAGGAATGTATGTAAGTTTCAATATCAATTTGTTGGTACTTTGAAGTATTCTTATTTATAATTTATTGTATAAGGACGAAGCTGAGGAATTGTACAAATGTTGTAATCGCTACGATCTTCTAAATAGATTCTATAGGGCTAGAAATCAAATAACAGCATCTTTAGATGTGGCTGAGACAAAAGATCGTATACATCTTAGAAATACATATTATAATGTAGGTCACAACTTAGAAAATAAAGGTGATGTAGCTGGGGCAGCTGCTATGTATTGTAAGTCAGAAACACATGGACTTACTATACCAAAGATGTTATTAGATGATCCAGTTACTTTAGAAAATTACATAATTAAAAATAAAAATGTGTAAGTTAACTTATAAAATTTAAAAACTAGTTATTTAATTAATTAATTTTTAGAGTGTTATTGAAATGGTGGGCTCAGTATTTAGAAGGTAGTGGTAATATGGATGGTGCAATTAAGTATTATCAACAAGCAAATGATGATTTGTCTACAGTTCGCATATTATGTTATCTTGGTCATATGGAGCAAGCCGCTCAAATTTGTATGAACACCAGCAATAAAGCTGCTTGTTGTCATCTCGCAAGATCATATGAAATGCAAGGGCTGTATGAAGAAGCTGTAAAAATGTATGTTGATGCCACAGCATATGTAAATGCAATTCGTTTATGTAAGGTAAGTAGTTTGTTAATATTAAATAGGGCTGGTTTAATAAACTAAGATTAAAATATATATTTTTATAACTATACTATCTTAATGTATGAGATTTTTTTTGTAACAATTTTTAGAACCCTGATTCTATTTACATCACATTGTACTTAAATTGTGTACTTCAACTTCACTTTTTACTACTTACATACTTCCATTACATTATTTCTATTTAAAAAAAATGACTACAATAAAAGATTTTTGGTTTTTAGGAGCAGTTTTTTGACAACCATCTTTGGAATATTGCTTTATTAGCAGATGTCAGAGAAAAGCTAGGTGTAGCCCAGTATTTTGAAGAAATTTCACCCGATAAATCAGTCATACTATATCATCAAGCTGGTTATTTACATAAAGCTATTGATTTGGCCTTTAAGTAAGTAGTTTAAATACTAATCAGCAATCTACATCCTATAAATGGCAATAAAAAAAAAAAATGTAGAAAATATGGTAAATATTGAGTTAATATCCTTCATATTTATAGTGTTGTATTATTTATACCAATAACATGATTTAAAAAAACATAAATTGTACAAAAAACTTGTTTTTAAAATTTTAAGTTTTTATTTTCTAGTACAAAGAGTTTCTAATTCAAATTAATAGTTTCTCTATATGTAAATAAAAAGTAATTACAATCAATAAAAATTTTTTTTTTAAAAATTGAATAAGCTCTACTCTGAACTTAACTTAGAATTGTGTGTTGTATATGATGATTTATGTCTCTGGTCTGCCTAGTTCTTAAACTATTTATATTTATAATTAATTTATTGACCCCACGACAGGCATTAATTAAGGTTGTTTAAATACAAGTTGAATACAACAAGTACAAATTGAAAACTTAATACTATACAATAATAACTAATTACAAATGTGATCTAGTCTGAGCTTAGTCAAGACAACTTATCATTCTGCGCAAACAATGGTTGAGCAAATATGAAGTATGATGGGGAAGTTATTTTGATAAAGAATGATGTATAATGTTGTGGGAGATACATAAAAAAAAATAGAGGAGAAAACATCAGGAACCTCCAGAGAGCAAAAGGTGTGATGAAATATAGGTCGGTCTCAATTTGGCGGAAAGCAAGAGAGAAAAACTAATGGTATATAGTATTATAGGTAATTTTGTTGAAGGTATTCAAATGATTTAGCCAAGTACAGATGGAATAATATAGATCTTCTTATGGGGTTATTTTATTAACAGGATCAAAATTAATATCCCATATTCTAAAATAAAATGTTTTATTGATAAATAAGAGATAGTATCAAGACATTTACCAGAAGAGAAATTTGAGGTATTGCAATTGATGAATGAAAATGTTCAAACAATTTACTGTTTTAAAATGCTCATACCTCACTTTAAAATTACAATGTAAAACATCAGTTATTGAAAAGATAATATTTTTACTTCTATATTTTGTAATAGACCATTTTGGTATGTTTTCTATGATAAAAAAAAGAAAATTCAAAATATTGATTAAAACAAAAGTTATTTCATTTGTCAGGTATTTCTGTTCTGTACACCCTGTTTAAATATGATTCATTACTAACCAATTATTAACCAATAAGAAAAAAAATATACAAATTTCATCTTATTTTTTAAACTTTTAGATTCATCTGCCTTTATTTTAGAAATGGTGAATAATTCATGGAATGTTATTTATAATGTGATTTGCCTAATATTTTTCTAGACTTGTATAGTTTTGTCTATTGTTACTTTTTTAGTTAATTTGTTAATTACATTAATTGAAAGTTACTTTAATTATATTTTATGTTATATTAATATAAACCTCATGTTAATTTTAGATGTAAAAACTATGATGCAATTGTTACAATGTCTCAAGAACTGAACATAGAAGATGATTCAATTTTATTATTAAAATGTTCAAATTTCTTTATGAGTCAAGGACATTATGACAATGCAGTTAATTTATTAGCAATGGCAAACAAAGTATACCTTGTTAATTTAGATTATTTACTTGTTAATTTTGTAACACGGCTTGATTTATTTTAGTTTGAAGAAGCTGTGGAACAATGTCAAGAGCACAAAGTAATTATTACTGAAGCACTTGGAAATCGTCTTACACCACCATCTGATCATGCAAAGCGTACTGCTATATTAGAGAAACTGGCTGAGTGCGCTTTAATGCAAGCCAGCTACCATATAGCAGCAAAAAAATTCACCCAGGCTGGACAAAAGGTTATAGTGTGTTGTGTATTTCTTTTGTACTTTCACTATTATAAAAGTGTTATATGTTTCCAGGTCAAAATTATTTGATCTTACAAAATTTTAGTCTATTATTAATGTAAACTGTTAGAATATAAAAGTAGTATAAATTGTTTATTGTGTTTAGATAAAAGCAATGAAAGCGTTATTAAAATCAGGGGACACAGAAAAAATTATATTTTATGCTAATGTATCCAGACAGCATGAAATCTATATTATGGCCGCAAATTATTTACAAACACTTGATTGGCAAGAGCGTCCAGAATTTTTAAAAACTATTGTATCATTCTACAACAAAGGAAAGGCCCCTCATCTTTTGGCTAATTTCTACATTTCTTGTGCTCAAGTAAAAATCCTTACTATAGTAACTAGTATCTACCTAAGGTGTTAAACTTATCCAGAAAGTAACTAACTACTAAGTATACAAATTCTATAAAAAAAAATAAAATAAAATTTTCCTTAATATGTCTGTATGTATTTATAAATTCAGTTACCTAAGTTTCCTTAGGTCCTTAGCTATTTTAACTATTAACATACCAAATATATATACCAACATAAGTAGTGTATTCCACAACTTGACTTCATCTTTTAAAATAATGTTTTTTTCTTTTAAAACATACTTACATTACACTAGACTTCAACGATTTTTCGTTGGCTACCTCTCATACTACAGTCAACAGTAAATGGGCCGATTAAAATTATATTTATTAGTGATACATTTTTATAACTATTTTAAATTATATTATTTAATCTTATGCGAACATATGTATTGTTATAAATAGCTTGAAGTTGACGAGTATCGCAATTACAGTAAAGCTGTAGGTGCTTTATCAGAGGCATTGAAGGTATTGTCTAAAGACAGTGATCAGTATAAAACACTAATTGAAGATATTGCAAAAAAAATAACTTTAGTAAAAAAATTTCTTGATGTTAAGAGGTACAATCCATAGATCCTAGTATACTCTTAAGTCTCTAAATCATAATAATATATTAGTTTATTTAATTCATTTTGTTACTTAGACAAATTGACAGTGGTGATGGTGATTCAGCTATGACATTATGTCGACAAATTTTGTCAGCTCCCAATATGGATATACTTAGATATGGTGATGTATATTCAATGATGGTAGAATATTATACAACTCAAGGCGAAAATAAAATAGCAGTTCAATTGGTGAATGAGCTGTTGGCTCGCACTCAACAAAAAGATAATTTACTCTTCTATATTGATAAAGGTTAGTATTAAATATTCAGTCTATTATTAAGAAATATCTTATTTAAATTGACCTAATAGGTAGAAATGATAATTTATCTATATACTGAGTAGTTTATTTTATTATTATTTGCAAGCCTATTTATTGTAAAATGTAAATGAACTGATTCATGCATTTTGTCTGTTTATTATATAATTATATATAATTACTACATACTAAAGAGACCAAGCTTACAACTATAAGTTTCGAGTAAAAAATAGGTCCACATTTCTCAGCTCATTACATTCTCGAGCAACGTGGTCTGAAGGATTATTATATCCATAAGAGGTACGATGAAATGGTATTGAAAAATTAGGATGATGCCGTGAATTAAATTGAGGAACATTAAATTTAACGATTGTAATAAATCTGGACAAGATATATCGCCATTTATTAATTTGGACATGAAACGAATATCTACAGAATTGCCTCTAGAAACCAGGAATTCTAAATTGATACTGGCTTGGATTGATGATAGAGACGTTAAAATAGGTGGATTTACTTGAGAATGCAATTTTCTCGTATACCCAATTAGGCGTAAAAACTTTCTTTTGACTCGCTCAAGTGATTCAATAGGTCCAATTTGTGTAGGATTCCAAAGAACTGAGGAGAATTCAAGAATTGGTCTAACTAAAGAGGTATATAAAGTTTTAAGACAGGTTTCGTTGTTAAATTCTTTCGTATTCCGAATTATAAAACCAAGACTTCTAAGTGCTTTTGAACATAAGTAATCAATGTTGGAGGAAAATAATAAGTTAGGCTGGAATACCACCCCTAGATCATTACATGAATCAATTTCAATGAGTTTGTCACCATTAATATGATAGGAAAAGTTTAATTTAGACTTAGTACGGAAAAACGACATTTTGAGACATTTGGTTGTATTTAACTTAAGGCCATTAGAACGGCACCAATCACTGACTCTGATTAGGTCATTTTGGATTAAATTAGAATCATCTACAGAGGAAACTTTGGCAAATATTTTTAAATCATCAGCAAACAATAAGTAGTTACAAAATTTAAAGCAATTACTCAAATCCCATAGAAAAATGGAAAACAGCAACTATTTGTTAGTTTTATATATTATTTTATAATATTTGATATGCAATAATGCAATAATTATCCAGAGCAGTATTTCTTAACCTGTATTATACATGTATGTATATTTTATTTATTGGTTTAAACAGTTAAACTGCTTAACGAATTTAATCTAATCTATTCTGTGGTTCAACTATGTACATTCAAATTTAGTATGTATAATACACTTGCTAACAAACAGCTTAACAAGATACCATGTGATAATAGTTATTACATTTTAAGTGGAGAAGTTTTTTACTGATGGCACTTAAAATATCTAATTTGTATAAGTTATCTTGCGAGTAGGTCACATCACTTCTTCGTTCTGGGATATTCATAATATTAAATGTAGTAAAATACACTTCTAATTTAGTACATCAATGTGTAAGTTATATTCAAAAGGGGACTTCTTCAGAGTTCTATAAACCAAGTATCAGCCCATTCGTATTTATATCCAGGCTTCAATTACCAGTGTCTGGCCCTTTTTTTATGTATTTGGTCAAAATTCGAACTTTACCTTGTATTATTATTTCAAATTTTTTTATCGACATTAATTTTAAAAAAATACTAATTTTAATCAAAAATTTCATACAACTTTAAATAGTTTAACGTGAGTCAAACTACAGTTTTTCCTTCATTTTTTGTTTGTTTTTTTTCGGCCAGTTTTGAAAACTATTGGGAATTTATAACTGTTGACCCTCAAAATACCAACTAGACTCACTTTTATACCAGAGAAGATGTTGTCGAAGAAAACCAAGCATTTTACTGCCCCAAGAGGTGATAACAGACACTAAAATTAAAAAATTAAAATAAATAAAAACACATTTTTGTAAAACCAATACATTCATCATGTACATCATCCACTTAGAATCTAAAATGTTAATATGAAAAACTTATCTGATTTCACAGTTTTAATTGGTATTTAGTTATAATGACATTCTATAAATCTTATTAGTTTTAGTCATAACCAGTATAATATGGTATTATAGTAATAAAATTGTAAACAAAAAAAGTACATCACTATTAAATTAGAATTTATTTTAATCTTGTGTTATTCAGTTATTGCAATAGAATTATTATGTTTTTGTGAAGTATAAATAAATTTCTTTTTTTATGAACTCGTTTTTCAGCACACTTATATAACATAGAGTTATAGCATTTACATAGGTAGGTATTAAATATTGGTCTGAATTTCAACGTTTTTAACATAATTAGAAAATAAATTAAAGTATAATAAAGTTAATAAAAAAAAAAAACTTAGTACATAATAGATTTTAAATTAGGTATAGGTACACCCATTTTACATAATAATCATATTTTTCTAATATTAAAAAATACATAACAGATGACTGATATCAATAAAACAAAATAGGATACAATAGATTCATAGGTGCCTATAAAGGGTTATAAGCTTATTATATATATTTTTTAATTCAAAAGTTATTCCAAATTTTGAGGCTTCAAAATAACCAGAGTTGAGTTAATTTAATTGTTAATTATAATATATATTATTAATCATCTATTAATTGTATTTTTGGGTTATTAATAATAATACATAAATTAGATTAAATAATTAATAACTACACAATTTAAAAAAAGAACATTGTACTACAAATACATTTAATGATCTGCTCATTGTTTTTTAGATATTCTTCGAAAATTAGGTTTTCAAAAGGAATCCATTAAAGAAAATAGCATTGACGAAGAAGAAGAAATTCCTGAAGCATAAATGCCCTGATATTTTGGATTATTAATGTTAAAATAATGTACTACAAGCTATTAAGCAGCAAAACTGCATGTCTTACTTAGTCATTAGTTATAACTTATTAATAACTGTCATTTTTGATTAGCATATGGAATCAAGAGCGGAATATAATTCCCTTAATTATTAAAAATCAGCATCGTAAAAATGTTTTTAACTTAAGTGCCCTCTCCGTACGGAATAACTGGATCTCCCCTTGTTTGGAAATGGAGTTGTCTGTACGATTATATTAGTAATTATACCAATAACTAATAAGATTATTTTATGCTTTGAATTGTTTTTATAAAAACTTGAATTGATCTCATAAGCCAGATTTTAACTATATCATATGGCAGCATAGTTATATAGCATGTGGTTCAAAATTTCTCTACCATACTTAAATTATGTAAGTACTTAACATTTTAGAATAATTTATATAATGTAAAATTATGAACAATTAAAATTAAAATATATTACCTATCAAGCAAATTTGTTGATAATTCACACTGATTCAAATTGTCTTTTTTTTTAAAACTCCTTTGAATTTTAATTCTTTTAAAACATTAGCAGTGAATTTTGACAGTTATCCCTGTTTTCACGCATGTTGTACATCAAAACTCTTAATAGTATTTCACCCATACAGGTATTAGATTAGAGTTTTAAGTGATACAATTGTACATTATTATTAGGGTTTGGATTTTTTTTTTTAAATTTGCCTGGAACGGTTTCCTAGCTACAAATATGTGTCAAAGAAAAGTATTCTAACATTTTTTTTAAAATGATTTTCTTACTTTTAAATTTTTTGTTTCAGATTGAATCCAAAATTATAAGAAAAAAAATGTTTTTTCTAAGTTTAACAGGATAACCCATTATTTTAATAAATGCAATACATTTATTGTATTATAAAAATTATTTTAGGTACATATTTTGGGGCTTATAGAATAGACTATAGAGTAATACATGATGGTTTATAGATGGATAGATTTATTTTTTAAATTAATTTAGAGAATTGAAATGTGAGCCTTACATATTATGCTTATTCAACTCTTATCATTGATTATACAATTTACTTATCGATAATAGTATACAACCATGATTTGGAAATATATAGCCAAGTATCCAAATAGGATAATCGACAATAGTTATTAGTTATTACAGTATACCAATACAACTTGTCGTTTTGAAATGTTTTAATAATACTTTAAATACAATTTATATTCTAATGAATATTCAATATATTATACCTACTAAACATATTACAAGACTATAATAAATGTACAACAAAATATTCAAAAAGTAATTCACTTTCAGGAAATATACTATATTATATAGTGAAGATTTTATCAAGGCCAACAACACCACGTGACATTAACAACTGTTAATTAAAAAAAAAAATCATGGAATACTACAGAAGTAATAAAAAAAAAAATAAGTGTTAAGTGACTAGCCATAATGAAGGTAGATACTAAACAGTGATTTAACATGGGCTTAATCCACGAATTCCAATAATAAATTGCAACTTGCCTACTTAATTTAAATGTCTTACACAACTTAGTTAGTTTTATTATTTATGTATAAAAATTAAAAAGCAAAGAGATTAATACAAATGTATAAAAAATTCAACATTCAAAATTAACACATACAGCTGCTTTCAGACTCTTGTGAGTCTCCCTGATTGGCCGCATGATTCTGTAAATCGACAGCTATGCAATGTGTTAAGGATAGTAAGAAAAAAATTAATGCATAAAAAGTTCAAAATTATAAAATATATTTACAATTACATTAACCACACTGCTATTAGTTAAAAATTATAACGGTGAAATAAATAAAAATAATTGTTTACAAAACAATAATAATGTAGCATTTATTTAAAGCTCTGGGAATGTTCAGCGAGGTGGAAATATTCTCTTTCAATTGTTATTCTTTTAGTATATTATAATTACTAATTATAAGTTTAATTATAATTAGATGTATTATTTTAATTAATAACTGGTCCTACTCATCAAATATTTACTTAAATATATAGAATCATTGTCCAAGACCAGAATATTTTCTGTTATTTAAAAAAAAGAATAGTTAGTCTTTAAAATTTTAGACTTTATTATACGTAATAAAAAATTGGATGGATTTTTATTATATAAGTTAAACTATAAATTATATATTAGCATGCACAACTCTTCTCTGGATTTGCTGCATCATTCGGTGTGTCTTTAAGCACGACTTCTTGCACTGAAAACAAGCAATAGTTAAGGAAACAAACATGCCGCAAAAAGAAAAGAGAAAATACCATAATTTTAATTAAAAATAAGTTATAAGTAAATAACGAAAATTAGCATTCACTATAATTCATAATTTGGCTACATTTAGTTACCTCTTAATTATTATCATGCAATTATTTTGAAAATTATTTTTTAAAGATAAATAAAAATTGAGATCAAACATTTTAAATACGATAGTCAAAAATATTTAGCATAACAGATTTTATATTATAGTACCTTTATATTATAAATTAACTTAATAGATTTTGCTCAATCTCTCATTCCTATTTAAACTCACATACCAAGGCAAATGTAATAATTTTCCATCATCAAATAAAATGATATGTTCTTTTATTGGATTCATCTTCGGTGAAAAAACAATAATTGTACAATTGCTTGGTAAATATTACTCCTTATTTTTCATTGAATAATGCATTTTGGAATTTTTAAATAAACTTAATAGTTATACGATAATTCACATTCTTGAGATTTTTTGCACTATACACGTTTTGTGGTGATTCAAACATTTGTTTTTTAAATGAAAACCCTTCCTTGTTTTATCCTAAATTGTTTAGCAGATAATTTTTTTGAAAAATTTTTATGTTCATAATAATAAATTTAAACTAGCTTTTTAGTTGTTAAAATGTTTGTATTAAGAATACTAGTCTTTAAAAATGGTTTTACAAAAATATATATTAGATTTATTTTCGATATAGTATTTAATATACTAGGACCTCATTTATTAATTATAAATATTGATAAATCAATTTAAATAACTAACATGATCAAATTACCATAGTACTTATTTCTTCCAAACCTATAACCCTGTATAAAGTACCTATTATCTTTAGTACACAATATTAAATAGCTCAAAAACTTCATTTTTGAATTTTGATTTAATTATGTCAAAATTATCAGTTAAAAAATGGATCATTATTTGAAAAATAGTAGTTGGTATCTCAGCAGGATATTCTCTAAGTAGTAAAAAAATCTTAAGAATTTGAATAGTGCAAAAGAGTTCAAGGTATGAGTATACTTGGTGAATCACCTCAATAACTCTTAAGGTTTTAAAGGTTTATGATTTTTAACACAAACTAAAATACTTACGTGTGAAAATCAAAACAATTTTTATAACTTAGACTTAGAAGTATACTGAAGTTCTATACACAAGCATGGAATTAAACATAATTATTCATGCAGTGCTGAAAAAGCTGTATAAAATATTTATAAAGGATACTGTCTTCAGGTGGTCGATTCTCAGCTACATCCATGCCAGGTAATGCTGCTGCCACTCTTCTGAACAACTAAACACAAATAAAAGTACATAACAGTCATGTTATTATAATTATTAATCGTCACCAACTTGTTTAACATTGTAACCAGCTTTAGCACTAGTTTCAATAAACATGACATTTAACTCCTTTGCTTTATGTTCACCATCTTCAGCTAATACTTGTCGTTTATCAGTTAAATCAGTTTTGTTACCAACTAACATTATTATTACATCACTACCACGTTCAGTTCGAACATCGTCTATCCATTTTGATGTCTGGTGAAAGGAATTCGCATCTAAACAAAATTACATTTCATTACTCACTCTTTCATTAAGATTTAAAATAATTTATTACTTGTTATGTCATATACAACAACAGCAACAGTAGAATCTCTTATATAAGAAGGAATAAGACTTCTGAATCTTTCTTGTCCTGCTGTATCCCATAGCTGTAATCTTACCTGAATAAATATTAATTAAAATTAAAATTAAAACTCATAACCTAGGTATTATAAAAAAACTAAATGCATTAGCTTTTCATTTATCTTAGATAACAGAGGAATTACATCTCCCATTTAGGGAAAATTTAGTATGTAGTGCAACTTGAAATTTTAAATAGATATTTTAAAGAATACTTTATATACCGTTCTAGACCGTATCCAGAAAATAATGAGAAGGAGTCTCTGGAACTCTACTTTATTATTAATATTTAATATACATTATACCATTCTTCTTATTATGTACAAAAATAAGGCTCTTTATTATGATTCAATAGTTAATCAATTATGAGAGGATAGGCCAAATACAACTAGACAATCTTTTGATTTATTAAAAAATCAATAAATACTAATTTAAGTAGAATTTATTTATTGGTTATTTTTTAAAAGCTACATTAGTTTAAATTTGATACCTTGAAATATCAACTTTTATAAATAAAACTGTTTCAATATTAAATTAATATATTATTGAATTTTGATACTACTGACAATTCCAATAAAAATTATACAGGTAACTATTTTTTATAACCTAATAGTCCAAGATTTGATCCAAATTTGGGGCTGTGCATTCATGTTAATTTCATACTTAACAAGTACTAGTTGTTTCTCAATGCATACTAACTTATGTACCTTGGTGTGTATCAAAGTCTACACTAAAATTGAAAATTAGTTAACCTACTAACCCCAAACATTATAAAACATTTAACTAAATACTACCAAGTCATAAAAATTCAAACAAATGTAATCAAAACACAACCTATTAGTCTTCGGCTTAAAAGGAAACATTTCAGACACTCATAAGACTAAAACAATACATTAAGAGGATGCTACACATGCAAGCGTTGTCTGTTATACAAATGCATAATATACCAAATTGTTAGCTCTGAATAATCTATTTAACTCAGATATGTATAATGTAAGAGCAAATTGACCTATTATCAAATTTAGAAGTAATAGTATTGTCTAGTGAACCTCATAGGTTTTTTTTAGATTTTTATTTAAAGCAAGTTATGAGGTTCACTAGTTAATATTCTTACTTATAAATTTGATAATAGGACAATTAGCTCCAATATTAATTGTAACAGAATTAAATGGATTATTCAGAACGAACAATTTGCAATGTTAAGCATTTGTGAGACAAAAACAATGCATGTGGGTGTAACATCCTATTAAAATATATAAGCATAAGACAAAATACAGGTTTTGTAACTGGGTGATCTCCATCTTAATTTTTATTGTATATATTAAAAAATATCTTATTTACTTATTGTGCTGAAGCACAGATGTCAGATTGTAAATATTCTTTCATTAAATAAAATAATTTATTTATATTACCTTAATAAATGGTTTAACTAAAATCACTAGCGTATTATAAAATTATAATTATTGTTCAACTAGATAAGATAAGTGTACTAAGTAAATTATTTTGAAGATGTTTGAATTAAACTATTTTAATATCGTACTAAGTAAATGATCTTTTTTAGATTCTGAGGGCAATGTATGAATTGTATTTACAATGATTTATTTTTCTGTCTGCAATTTAGGGTAGTAATAATGGTCTGATTTACGATATCAGCAATTTTAATTTTATTTTGTAAAACTCGGATAGTTATAACCGTGGACACTTGAAATGTAAACTAAATATTTAAATCAACATTTTTCATTTAGGGTAACATTCCTAAAATATTTTGACTTTTTTGAGCTGATTGTAGCCTCAAGAAATTTTTTTCTATTAAGTAAAAAAGCTTGAAAATGTAATATAAGGTTCCCAATAAGTTTCATTAATGGAAGTTAAAAAAATATAAGGTACAAAGGCATGATTATTACTTATATGCACTTTAAGTTTTTGACCATATACATCAACATTGAAAATATTTTCAAATGACAGTTGATCACAGTGATCTCAAACTCAAATTATCTACGAGCCATATAAGTTTTCAAAAAAAGTTTGCAGGCTAATTTTAAGTGTCCTCTTTTTAACGTATATACTAGAACTGAAGACAACATTTTCAGACATCAGATATACAGATTCATTTGAAATCCATTTATCTAAATTACTTAGTATATTATGAAATTACTTTTATTATTAGTACTATAACCAAAATTATTTATAAAAATATGAACAAATTAGTTGTTTATTTCACTTATTATTACTTCAAATTATCATTAAAAAAATATAATGAATATCAACTTAAAAAAAATAGAATTAAAATTTAAAATTTTTAAAATTTTTTCATATATTTTTGTTCAAAATGTATTTTTATAACAAGCCACACATGACCCGTGCTCAGTACATTTGAGACCACTGGTTTAACAGATAAATCAATAAAAAAAAGAGTTAATTTTTTAAATAATCATACATATTAAGAGTAAAATTTTAATCTATTTTACAAAATAGTTTTCATGATAGATGAATAAATAAAAATTCTGTCTTGCAACACCAACGTAAGTTTTCACAATTATTGTTATCATACAGTTATTAAAAATAACTACATGTAATTAGTAATAAGAACATAATTATTATAAAATGTATAAGTCTACTACTAAAATCAATTGCCTTCAAGTACATTCAAATCTAAGAAATCTAATAAACTGCTTATAATGAATTCATTACATTTAATAAAACATATCCTTATTTACTTGAAGTAATAATAATTTTAAAGACTAAAAACATATATTTTTATTACATTAATTTGAAACAACTTACAGTTCTATCTTCGAGATACATAGTTTTAGACAAAAAATCAATACCAATGGTGGCCTGTTAACACAAGACAAAAATAAATTATATTTTGTACAACTCTATTAGTATTAGGTGGCTTTATAAATACGTAAGCTTACCTGGTAAGTATTATCGAAACTATCATACATAAATCTTGTGATGAGTGACGTTTTACCAACTATAAACATAAGAGCAATCTGTATTATTAGAAAGTTAAATACTCGATATATTATACACAACAAGTAGTTTTACTATAAAAACCGTACCACTTTGTTCGCCCAAAAACACCAATTTGAATTTCCTAAGAGGATTACCGAAGTCTCCGGAAGACGACATACTTATAGAGATTATTTTAATTTCTATGTAACATTAACTAATTATCAATGGCTACCACAACATGATTATAAGAAAAGCAAATCAGTATCCATAAAACAATTGTTTAATGTCGACATTAAACAATTGTTTTTTGAGAAATGATACAAGTATTACATATACTAAATATTGTGTACTTATTAATTAAAAATAAAAAATAAAAAGATTAAAAAATCGCAATCTTATTTCATTAGACTAATAAACGCCACGTTCGAGTGTAATCACACATTCACATCGTAGCCATTTTGATTTGATTATCCACATAAATACACAGCTGATCAGTTTACCAGGGTTCTGGTAAACCACATCTCGGCTTGTGTTATCAAAATACTTTGGACTTTGGAGAGGGGAGAGATTAAATATAATTTTTTGACATTTTGAAGGGCATAAAAAATCATATCCATAATTCATATTTCAATTTCATCGTTGGTCGTTCATTTTTCAATTTACAGTTCAAAACTCATTGGATCTGGCCCACATTTAATAATTTCCTGTTTCCTTAAGTATTATCCACTTGATCAAAATGCAATCAAATATATTTAGTAGGTTTTCGATGGCTGTAAAGGTTTGTATTGGTTGTATATACACATATTATTATGGATAATAATAGTAGATGAAATTAAAATTGAATTCTCCATTCATGTTTAGCCAAATATGCTGCAAAAGTCCAAACATATTGAGTGCGGATTTATATACTCTGTAGTTAACCGTCGTTATGCAAGTGGCGACTCAGTAGATTTAGTTGTTATTGGTTCTGGACCTGGTGGTTATGTAGCTGCCATTAAAGCTGCACAGTTGGGATTGAATGTAAGTGTAAATGTAGTAATTTAAAAAATAAGTCAATTTAAACATATTTGATACTTTGTCGTGTGTAGACTGTTTGTGTTGAAAAAAATCCTACACTCGGTGGTACTTGTCTGAATGTTGGTTGCATCCCTTCTAAAGCACTCCTGAATAACTCACATTATTATCATATGGCACATTCTGGTGATTTAAATTCTCGAGGAGTTGAAGGTAAGTTAATTTTAGTAATAGTCATGTAATAGGTAATTTTTGCATGCCAATAAAGTATGAACATTTATGATTTGTATCAATATTCTCCAATTTATCTTAGTTGAGAATGTTAAGCTTAACCTAGAAGCGTTAATGCAAACAAAAACAAATGCTGTGACTGCTCTGACTGGTGGAATCGCTCATTTATTTAAATCAAATAAAATAACTTTAGCCAAAGGTCATGGTAAAATTAAGGACCCAAACACAGTATCAGTACTGAAAGAAGATGGATCTTCCGAGGATATCAAAACTAAAAATATACTAATCGCTACAGGTTCTGAAGTTACTCCATTTGCAGGAATTGAAGTAAGTTCAAATGATCTTGATATGAACATACAAGTATATATATGTATCTATAAAATTGTTAAATTTTGTTTTTAGATTGATGAAGAAACTGTTGTTTCTTCAACAGGTGCACTAAAACTTTCAAAAGTTCCTGAAAAAATGATTGTTATTGGGGCTGGTGTTATAGGTCTTGAGCTAGTAAGTTTAATTGAGAAAATAAAGATAATCTAATTAATAATTATTTCCTTGTATTTATTAGGGATCTGTTTGGAGTCGTTTAGGAACAAAAGTTACTGCTGTTGAATTTATGCCTACAATTGGTGGTGTTGGCATTGATGGAGAAGTGTCTAAACAGTTCCAAAAAATATTGACTAAACAAGGATTAGGTTTTAAATTAGGAACCAAAGTTATCAGTGCAAGTAAATCTGGAGGACAAATATTAGTTGAAGTTGAAAATGCTAAAGATTCTTCAAAAAAAGAGACGGTGGGTAATAATTTAAATATTCATAAATTTGCATAGTATTTTAATGAGTTTTTAATTTTTAGTTGGACTGTGATGTACTACTTGTGAGTGTTGGTCGTCGACCTTATACACATAATTTAGGTTTAGAAGAGAATAGCATTGAGAAGGATGCTAAAGGAAGAATACCTGTAAATTCTAGATTCCAAACTGTTATACCCAAGTATGTAATTGTATTGTTGTAGACTGTTCATATTCAAAGCAACTCATTTTTAATATAACATGTAAAATATATTTATAGTATATTTGCTATTGGAGATTGTATCCATGGACCAATGTTGGCTCACAAAGCTGAAGACGAAGGTATAGTTTGTGTTGAAGGTATAACAGGTGCTCCAGTACATATTGATTACAACTGTGTGCCTTCAGTTATATATACTCACCCAGAAGTAGCATGGGTTGGTAAAAGTGAAGAAGACTTGAAAAATGAAGTAATTTCGCATATCATAAATTAATTTTAATTGGCTTATTTTTTTATACTGAACTATTTTTTCAGGGTGTTGATTATAAAGTAGGAAAATTCCCATTTGCGGCCAACAGTAGAGCTAAAACTAACAATGAAACTGATGGTTTCATTAAAGTTCTTGGTGATAAAGTTACTGATAAATTATTAGGATGCCACTTAATTGGACCAGTAATACATTTTTTTAAAGTATTGACATTTTCTAGTATTTATAATGCTATGTTTATAGGGTGTTGGAGAGATAGTTAATGAAGCAGTTTTAGCAATGGAATATGGAGCATCTTGTGAAGACATTGCTAGAGTCTGTCACGCACATCCAGTAATTTTATTTTTACTTAATTTGCACTCTATTACTTAAAATATAAAAATATTTTTTTAATTTTAGACGTGTTCGGAAGCATTAAGAGAGGCAAATTTAGCTGCATACTTTGGTAAAGCTATTAATTTTGGTTGAAGTATTATGTTATTCCACAACTGAACCATCTTCAAACCAAATGCAGTATAAAGAAGTTCATCAATTTACTTTAGGTTATTACTCACTTTAAATGAAATTTGGCTTCTTTTTGTTCAACTATAATAAAACCCCACTTTTTTAGATATCGAAAAATTAGTTTTAAATGAATAGCAATTCACTACCCATCTGTTGCTAAAAAAAACCATTTTCCTTTTAAATTGTATATGTAATATATTGTTTCTTTATGTACTGTGGATATAAATATATATATTTTTTTTTTAACAAAACCTTGCTTATAACTTATAAGCTATTAGTAATATTATTTTAACTATTATTAAATAGATCATTCATGTTATGTTTATGTTATTTCACATTATTATTTTCAGTTAATTTAATTGTTGGTACTCAAAAAATAAAAATAAGTCACTAATAATCTCATAAATTACTAATTATTTTCTCAAACAGCTTTTATTACTCATATGAAAGTCAACACAGTGATGCACTTATACTATATAATTTGGTAATTACTTGAATTTAATGTATAATTATTTATGTTGCTAGAGAATAACATTTTTAAATGTAGGAGACATTTTAAGATTGTGTATCATGTTTTATTATCAGTTCTCAGATTCAATAATTACTAACATGATTAAAAATGATAATATTACAAAAACAATTTAAATTATTTTAATTATAAAAATTAAACACTAAAAAGGTATAAGATACAAATAATAAAATACTACTTTAGTACTATTAGGTACTACTAGACGTAGAGTAAAGGTTTCCAGGTGAAAATAAAAATAGAATACTTTGAGAATTACCCAACCACAAAACTTATATTACATTTTAAACTTTAAAAATCTCAAAAAAACAGTTTGAAATTTATGGAAAAAAACTAAAAAAAATTAAAATGTCTAAATACTAAAAAGCTCAAAATGAGCCAAATTATTATGTGTAGAATATGGTTGTGTAAACATTTGGTGTGAATTTCAATCATTTTATATTCAACTCATATTCCTCTTTTTTAGTTACCAATACTTCTAAATAAGAAAATTATTCGATAAGAAATCGTTAATTTACGAATGAATACCCAATTCATAACTTCAAACGCACTCAAAAAAATTAATTTGACTTTCCTGTAAATTTTTTTTTGTAAATGAAAACTTGTGATTAATCATGTATTCAATTTTCAAATCTAAGGTGTAGATTTTTAAAATTATTTATGAATTTCTAACAAAATAATTTTTATAGTTTTCGTGATTATTGTGAATTTTGTCAAACTTCTAATTTTAGACGCTCATGAAAAATTATTTTGGATTTACGCTTTACCTTTTTTTTCAATTTCCACTAACAACAACTTATGAGCAATTTTTTATTAAATGTTTATGTATTTTAAAAGAGCGAAATCTATAACAAATCTAATTTCTTATGCCTATAAAAGTATAAATACCTATCAGAAAGAGTTGAAATATTTTGAATACAGAGTATGTCACAATGTGTGGATTATTATTACATAAACAATTGGTGAAAATTTAAAGTATTTATGGCTATTAGTTTTTCAGTTATATGATTTGATTTTGTCAAAAAATGTGTTTTCGTAAAATCTCTGTTTCTTCAATTTTAGATTCTGAGGAGCTATGAATGTGGATATAATATATAACAATTATGGACACACAATTAACCAAAACGTCCAAAGTCATTGGTTTGGACCATGAATTAAGATAATATACCTCAAATAGTTATTTAGTTGTATATTTAATATTACCTATATATCTTAAATCATGATTAGAACAAAAGGTGCAAAAAATACTACTTTGTAGCCTCTCCTCCACGGCTCCACCTTCGTTCAAATCATAGACCTATAAAGAAAGCCACATTGCAATAGAAACCGCGGTGCGGGGGGTTTATTGCACCAGGGCACAACGTTTGAAGTTCTTCCATGGGGCCCATATTTATATAAATTAAGTACAAGAACCTAAACTATAACAGAATATTTTTTAATAAGATCATATTTTAATATAATATTAGTAAAATAATAATGATAATGTCGTTTGAACTATATTATGGTTTAATATTATCGACGTATTATTATCGTAGTGGTGCGGTCCTCACAGTCGTGCAGCCGTGCAGATAGAAGATGCAAGTCCCTACAAATATTATGACTATATATAGGTATTTTTGGTTTTTACAATTGGATTATACTAGTCTTATACTAAGTGACGGTAATATATCTATAAAGTTGCCCGCTGAAGGAACTCGTTATTCTGAAAATTCAGAGACAGCTCTGTAGGTCTACAGGTCGGAACACTGAGTTCAAATTTTGACAAAATGTACAAATAATTTTTTAGTTAAAAATATAAATCATTTGTAGCTAACGATTAAAAATTTAAATAAGCGTTAAGTAGTTGTACTTTAACCAAAAATTTGAATACATTATATACAAACACAGTTTTTTTATAGTTATTTTAAGTTCAAATGTCGAAGAAATAAAATACTTAAACCGAGAATAACGATTGTTGTCATTTTGTTGTAATTCGATAACAAATAACCGTAGGTGCTTGAAATTTACACCAAATGTTTTTTATACTATTTCTTATATTTTTTAGTTTTCAAAATATTGAGCTGTTTATGGGATTTTTTTTTTTATTTATTGATCATTCGCTTAATAAGTATGTTTAATTTTTTTTTTTTAATATTCTATTTTCTTATTTCGTTATCATCAACACGATTGACTACATTTGTAGATTCGTTCGTCAGACCTTTGTGAATCGGCGCAGTTTGCGAATACTTTTACTTCGACACAATGTGGTGTTCACACAACAATAACAGCAATATAGTAATTATTATAATTAATAATTATTTTAGATTCTGAGACGAGAGATTAATATATTGATTTTACAATGGTGTGTGAGTGTTTTTTCTGTCAGTTTTGGGGGCAGAAAAAATCTCACCACATCTATTAACTTACCTACTTTCACAAAACCTTATATATATTGATTTGGTGCTTAAATAATAAAAAAATGTTCGTTAATATTCTTCATGAGCCCTTATGCTGTTGAAATAAATAAAATCGTATTCATATTTGTATAACGTAAAATAAGAAAAAACATTTTAATGTGAAAACAAAATTTTTATTTTTACTTGAACAATGATCACAATATTAAGTTTAAATAACACATGTAAAAATTATTCTATTAAAAAATGTTTGTTCGTTGTATGCCAAAAGATTGAAGAAATGCAATACAAAGCATAAATTGCGAAAAACAAAAAGACATCAAATAAGACGAGGCGACATGGAGGGGGGATGGGTACGTAATGGCAAATGGGTAGTGCAAATGATGTATGGAAATAAGTGGCTACTGGTTACCAATACAGAGTTTTCAAGGCCGTACTGCGGGGCGGACGAGTCGCGGGCACGTTGGCTCGAGACGCGAAGACGACCACAGCAGCAGACAAAGCCCGGCCACAACGGCCGCGAGATCGACGACGGTTGATGACGAGCGACTAGTGCGCGATGTTGTGCGTGTGACGGTTCTGCGGGTGCTAAAGACGTTGACTGTTGTGCCGGTGACGAACAGTGACCTAAAAAAAAAGAAAATATGAAAAAATATGAATTTAAACAAACATTAATAACTGCAGTCTACAATATCAGCATCCCCAAACTCGTAGCGTCATTTACAATAATTTTATCATGAGAAAATGAATATTATAAGGAACCAGCTGGTTATCAACATTTAAAAAATGTGAATAAAACATTGAGCTACAACTAACTTATAGAAAAAAAATTTGAAGGGGGCATGGGCGCCCACACGTCAATAGGTTTCAGGAATGAACTAAAAAGTTTGAAAAAAAAAATTAGATAGAATTCAATTCTAAAAATCAAAATTTAAAGGGAGGCATGGGCACCCGCAGGCAAAAGCCTTTGGAGAATTAAAAAAAACAGAAAATATGAAAAATTGTGCAATTAAACATTCATTAAAGACTGCAGTCTATAATATCAGTATACCTACACTCATAGCTTTATTTATAATAATTAAATAATGGTAAAATGAATATATGTATAAGAAACCAGCAGGTTATCAAAATATAATAAAAGTATTTAAGTAATTGAGAATTGAGTTAAAAAATAAAAATGGGAAGGGGGACATGGGCGCCCGCAGGGAAATGCGTTTTGAGAATCAAAAAAAATAAAAATATGAAAATTTTGAATTAGAAACAAACATTATAGACTGCAGTCTATAATATCAGTATACCTAAACTCATAGCTCTATTTACAATAATTAAATAATGGCATAACGAATATATGTATAAGGAACCAGCTGGTTATCAACATTTAAAAATAGTATTTAAAGTCATTGGGGAATTAAATTTAAAAATAAAAATGGGAAGGGGGTAGGGGGCGCCCGTGGGCAAATACGAATTGAGAATCAAAAAAAAAAAAAATATATAAAAAAAGTTGCATTAAAAACAAACAATTAAATAATGGTAAAATGAATATATGTATAAGGAACCAGCGGGTTATCAAAATATAATAATAGTATTTAAGTCATTGAGAATTCAATTTTAAAATAAAAATGTTAAGGAGGGCATGGGCGCCCGCAGGCAAATGCGTTTTGAGATTCAAAAAAAAAAAAAATATGAAAATTTTGAATTAGAAACAAACATTATAGACTGCAGTCTATAATATCAATATACCTAAACTCATAGCTTTATTTACAATAATTAAATAATGGTAAAATAAATAAATGTATAAGGAACCAGCTGGTTATCAAAATATAAGAATAGTATTTAAGTCATTGAGAATTCAATTTTAAAATAAAAATGGGAAGGGGGACATGGGCACCCGCAGGCAAATGCGTGTTGAGATTCAAAAAAAATAAAAATATGAAAATTTTGAATTAGAAACAAACATTATAGACTGCAGTCTATAATATCAATATACCTAAACTCATAGC